CGCTTCGAAAAATGGTGCGTGTATCTTAGACGAGTTAAACGTTGGCCCCGTGTCATAATCATAATATTGTACAGAAGGAGTGATAGGTAAGTCACTGATAAAAGTCGCAAGTGATGCGGTTGATTGTCTTCTTCCCAATCTTACATACCGATATCTTTCCGAAAGCCATTCAAAAAGGGAAATGGGACAACTAAATGTTTGGAGCTTGTTAACTAAAAGGGATCGGGGCACCGAGTGAAAAGTGGAAGAAATGCACAGTTCATATATTTGGTTTTCTCGTTAGGGGACTTACAGAATAAAGGAACTAAAGAAGAAACGGCTTTCAATGTAGATCGGTTATGTTTGTGTGCAAACTGATAAATATCATTGGGGGTGATAAGAGATAACTGAAGGCGATGCAGAACTGATAGCTCCATCAATTTCAAACTAGTAAAAGTGAGAGCAATCGGTCCGAAACGCTTTGCTATTGGGACTTTGACGTTCCTTTGGGGATGGGAGTAATTCTCACTGGGCTCCAGCAATCCGGTATATTTCGGAGTTCCAGTGAGATATTGACTACGTGTGCAAAGATGTGAGGCAGTGGCTTTTTGGAATTGCCGGTTGCCACACTTTGAATGAGTCTTTAAATATTGTTATCTTTCGGGTTTCACCACACCTTAGATCTGATCCATTTTTAATATATTTGTATGTTTTTCACACCCCCTAGGATTCCTTCACAGATGGCTCGTACCGTGCGAAACGCAGTCGAAGTTGCTTCACGTACTATTGGTCACGTTTCGACAAGTAGTAAGTTGGCTTTTTCAGCTGTTTCTTTTGTTTCTTTGCTAGCTAGTGCCGACCGGATGTTTGCGCATTCGGAAAGCAAACCCAGTACCGGTAGACTCAAGTGAGGCCCATGAACGAGGACAAAATATTTCTGTCAAGAAGGGGCGTTTCAATCCAGCTGTTAGGTTTGATACTTATGGGGGGGGGACGCTAGCAACTACGCTACTGAGGCTAGTTCCCGTTCTGGCCTGGTTTGCTCATCCGATCATGATACAATTCCCAAAGCTTTCCGGCCTGATAGTTAGCATTTTCATCCCCGTACGAAATGAAGAACTCTTTCTGTCAGTTTACTTTCACGAACAAGACACGGCTGAGCAAGCAATCAGCGGTCATTCGCAAGCATTAGTTTAGTTTTTATAACCAGTAACCATACCGTTTCGTGTTCCGGTTTCGGTTGCTGTCTTTTGGCTGCCCATTTGGATTCAAACGAGCAAAATGAAGATTGGAATGTTTTGAGATCCAGCTCAAGCGGAAGGATAGAGAATTCGTATAGACTGAGGTTGCAAGAATAGAATGCATAGACATAAGTGTTGTAATAACGATTTGACCGGACTAGCTTGGACCGTGAGCCCAGTCAGCACACTATAGAACAAACCAAGAACGGAAACCGTAAGGACCCAGCCACTGTGTGAGTGCAACGCAAATACATCCGACTGCGGTACCCAGGCAATTCCCAAGAAAGAACCGGTAAAACGCCCCGCGAGAGTAGTACGACCCTGGGATCCAACCAGAGAGAAGATGGAGGATAGGCCTTCAGTTGAAGTTGTATATTTGGCTCGACCCAAAAGGCGATGACTGTGGACAACTCATCTGCTTATATATGCAGTTTCGGGACCGGCCAGCAATGACCTTGGAAATTAGCTCCAAAGTACCGGGTTCTGAGGAAATGGACCAATCAGGATCAACTATGGCCGGTAATGTGAACTGAGGTTTTTCCGGAAATTCAAAGTTTATAAAATTAATTAGCAAAATAAGGGAGATAGCCACTTTTAAAGGGACAAAAATAGGCTTGACCCATCCAAAACTCAATCATCGTGGTCAGCTAACGCGGATGCACCCAGCAACTTTTTGCACATTTTTCGTAATCCTAATTTCAATTTTCTTTGATTGCTACGAGTTTGTGCAATCAGGTATACAATTATGCTTTGNCCCCCCCCCCCCCCCCGTGTGTGTGGTTTGTGCTGAAACAGTCACCCACATGCAATTACTTCCCTACAGCTTTCAGCAAGTGATTACTTCCTTCAATGTGTCCAAACAGCCAGTTGCGGAGTCTTTCGGACCCCAACCTGAAAGGCGCGAGATACCTACTCTACCTAATGACTCTGTGCATTTCTTCATGCCTTGTCTCCACATCATCTGTAGGCTTCCACGTGGCTTGTTCCGAGTTGTCGGAAGTCACGAAGCATGAAGAAATGCACAGAGCTTTTATAGGTAGCGTAGGTGTCTCGCGTCTTCCAGGTTGCGATCCGAATGACTGCGCAACTGGTTGGTTGGAGACATTGAAGGATATTGCAGCGAACCGACAGCAATAGCGTTCTTGTTGTCATTTCTTATCAGTTCAGAATGCTTAAATCGGTATATATGTTCAGTTCGGTTGTGCACTCTGTGTGTTGACCATAGTGGCTCATCTTCTTCTCCCTCCCTCAACATAGGTCCAATCCCTGTTCACCTTAAATAATCGGACTAATCTTCTATGCATTGTGAGTTTGACAATGATCAGTGAAGTTCGCCTCACTGTATTTCACTGTATGATAATGACGATGATTGCTAAGAGTAAGTGTTTCATTCTACATGTGTCAGTCTCACGGGCTTCCTTGAATTTTCGGACACAAATGGTATACCATCACATGCACATGTTGGGTGTTCTGAAACGCTCGGTGCCGCCGGAAGATAGCTCTGTATCAGTGCTACCTCGCCGGCTTGCTATCGGTCTGCAAAGTCTATTTGGTGAGCTCAATCCGATCCCGCTGCCGTATCAATCCAACTACCGACCGTCAACGGATAACGCTGACGACGGAAGCGGACAGTGACATCGGTCTCTTACTCGATCAAAAGTTTGACCTGGAAAACTCATCCCGTGCATGCAGTTTCAATAGATCACACGACTAGTAAACTATACTTCTGACTGGGTGTTGCGGAAGACCGTCGTCGTACGGTTTCAGTGAGTGACTTGGTGGTCAAGCCTTGAACGGGGTTTGATAAACCGATAACCGCACTCACAGGAAATGGACTGCCAACTTCTGTCTCTACTGGTCACTTAAATTTGCTATATTCAATGGGCGTTCATGGATGCATATAGGATAAGAATGGCAGCTTAGACAAGGATCTTGCAGGGTATTTGAGATCCCTGTTACGTCAAGTAGCTTCAACAACAGCAGCAGCAGCATGGCCTTCATCGAACGAGTTCTACGTAAAATGCCCTGAAAATCGATTAATTACAATTAATTAATTAATTACAAGCTAATTTCCTCAATAATCATGAGCACGGCGCTCAAGTTTTCCAGTGAGATCCGTTCCATCCATGGATGGATCTCGTGTGATTAGAGTGTGTGTGTTCACTCACAAGCCTTCGTTGTTTTGTTTACAGCGGTTTTATTAACGCCCTGTCGGATTCTCGGTCACCTTTGTTAAATATTCGTGAACTACGACAATTGCATTTCCAAAACAATGTTTTCGAATCCCAGTCTCATTGGAGCCAGGTAGGTAGTGGTGAATAATCAGCCATACGGATTTCTCCCTCGTAATCGCCCAAGCAACACAGACCGTTAAGTTGATCCTAGGCACCGCGAGGCCGTCAGACAATCCCCGGTAGAATTTACATTAATCCAGCTGATTTCCGTCCGATTTTAGCATATTTTTCTGCAATATTTTCATGAACAGACTCAACACCAGATTTGAAAATTGAGTCTTTCAAACTGAGGCTCGATGAAACATTAGCACACCTTACATTCCAACATAAGTGAAGCTGCGTGCAGCAGTGGAAAAGGCACGTATCACGTGACATTTCACACAAAGAATTGTATGTATCACGGTTTCTTATTCCACCGCACGAACCTATGGGACCAGAAAAACATGAGCTTGTAAGTTAATCCCATAATAAATCTTTGAATCTTTGGCTGACCAGTTGAATTAATCATTTTATCAGCGATCTTTCTCATCCGCTAATCACCCGGGGCGTTTTGGCGATATTGATGTGTAGATCAATCCAGTTCTTTTTTATGTGTTTTTGTGTGTGAATATGTTGTACGATACAAAGTTTACCATTACTTCTTTTAATCAACCGCACTGCAGCTACCTGATGCCATTGCTCACTCATCGCGGTCCACCGTTAATCGAATCCGTTCCGTGGTGTTGTTTTCCACTGGCCAAACTGCTCACCACGGATGAACAGCGCTGTCAATCATTGAATTCGACCGCCTCGCGAAGCTCCCTGCGTGAGCCAGTGATGGAGGCTGATCTGACTACCGGACCGGCCGTGTTGTTCGTACACGATCAAATGGACCCGAACACGACCAGTTTTCATTTGAATACCACCCCGACCGGGACTGCACCACATCAGGTATGCAATGCGAAATTCTGTAATGGTTTCTGTATGAGGAGCAAGTTGTTTTGCAGATGAAGTGCAGCTTTTGCTACACACATTTGTGTGTCGAACAATAGACTTGGTACCACCCCTGTTTGGTCATAGCTACCAGTCTACCGATTCCTGGAACTGGAAGCGATGAAGTGCATCAAACCCTACTATTGTATTATTGTAATATAGATGACTTTTGCAGGGGACTGTGCCCACATTTCAATCAAGAATGTGTTCACCATTACAGTGGGATAAAAAATGAAATGAAAATAATATACAACACTGATAAAACTTAAATAGGTGTTCATCTTTGTAAGTTTAAAATTAGTTCATTATGGATCCTCACCGTGTCAGTGAGAATACGAGCCGAATAGGGAACCGTTGAGTTGCGGTAAATGTTTATGTGGGAGGGCAAGCAGCGAAAATTGGATCGGGTTGAAGCGTGGAAACGGCAAGCAGATAAATCGAGATTGAGTGGATGACTGGGGTCATTGAGTATCTTATGAGCGAAATTCTCACATGAAGTGATATGCAAATTACACAATTTTGCGATCAGTGTTTAAAGGAATAAGAGGAACACGGCTGATAATCATCAAACCGCGACGTAGAGTAATGAAGTCCTTTCTAAGTAGACCAAGGAAAATAACAGGTGAACAATAAAGTATGATAGGAAAAATGCATTGGTAAACAAAGGAACACACAGCTTCATGCCTGACGGGGAGTTGTCGTAGCTTGCGTATTTGAAAAGATAAGCTACGCAGTCTACCAACATAAGCAAGCACCTGAGAAGATCACCGTAGAGTAACTCTTGGGTATTTCGTTGTGTTCTGGTGGTGGGTAAGGAATTGATGACTGAGGGACCCCGGGGGTATTCGGATCGGGAAAGACTAAAAATGCATTCGAAGCATTTAGAGGTATTCAGTCGGAGATCGGATTGGTTTGAAAATGATTGCACTTGCAACAAATTGTCGCAAAATGATTGGTTTGAGATGGCTTAACATACGACCACATCATCGGTATAGTTGAAGGTCTTGACTGATGGGATTGAGGGTAAGTTACTGATGAAAGTCGAAAATAGGTAGGGGGAGAGCACAACACCCTGAAGGACTTCAGATTTATTCACTAACGGTTTTGAAGTAGTGCCGTTTGCCTTCGTCCTTTGAATCCTTCCTGTGAAACAATCTTTTAACCATGACAATAAGTTTTTGGGGCAACCGAATGACTGTAACTTTTGCAGTAGAAGAGATCGTGGA